CTTTGCTACTACCTGGTCTACAAGAAGATTTTGTATGTTTTATTGCTACTGATTCGGAGTCAAATAGAGGAAGCGAAAATGATATGTCTACTGACGAGTCTGATACCGAACACGGTGATGATAACACAACGGCTAATGTAATCAGCGGATTTATGGCGGTTAAAGCTGGGTTACAAGAGAACGGTTTGTTTAGTTTCCACTTTCGTTTTCTTATTCGATTACTATCACTAATGATAATAATGGTAGTATGTACATCATATATTACAATAACAGAAATTTAGCAGCGCTTACGTATTAAATGTTACGCAGGATATTACGATGATGGCGATCCTTTTTACATATGTGACAATTTTGGAGCCTATATGTGGTTTGGAGAACGTGTGAATAAAAAAATCAAAAAAGGAAAGCCTGTTTTTTCAATGTGTTGTCATCATGGAAAAGCTAAACTCCCTCTTCTTAAACCTCCACCGAATACGTTGTCATAGTTGTTCTATAATCACGATGATATTAGCATCAATTTCCGTGATAATATAAGAACATACAATATGATTTTTTCGTTCACATCTTTAGGAGGCAAGGTTAACCATTCTGTTAATGATGGTGCTGGACCCTATCTGTTTCAGATGTGTGGAGAAAATTATCACCGTATTGGTGATATTCTGCCAGAACCGGGTAAAACACCTATGTTCTTACAGCTATATATTCATGATATACAGAATGAGGTTTCTAATAGAATAAATGCATACGGGTAATAATTACATCTTTGTGTTCTCTTATATAATGTTTTCATTTAATTTACCAAAAAAAATAATTCACATTTTTGGTGTTTTCATAGAAGATCTGCATCGATTGAAAATTTGAGGTCCTCGACTGTAGAACTAATCAAGAAGATGCTTGATAATCATAATTCGCACGTCCGGGCTTTTAGGTCGGCAAGAGAGAAGTTCAATATGGATTACGGTGTGGAAGATTTAAAATTACGTTTGCCTTCGGATAGAGCTTCTGATGCGAGGACTCATAATCTACCTACTTGCAATGAGGTTGCTGCTTTGATTCCTGGTGATTTTAATTGCGGTGAGAATAAGCGTGACATTATTATAGAAGGCCGTTCAGGCAATTTACAAAGAATAAGTGAGCTGCATCCGGCATATTTACCTTTACAATATCTTTTGTTGTTTCCATATGGAGAGGAAGGATATCGGTTAGGGATTGACATAGGTTTTGTAGATACTGCTGGACGGAAAAGGAAAACCGTGAGCATGAGGGAATTTTATGCTTATCGAATTTTGGAGAGATATGGAGAAGCGTCTACGGTTGTTATGTCCGGAAAATTATTCCAACAGTTCTTAGTGGATGCCTTTACGACTATTGAATTATATTTGGATGAACCAAAAGAAACTCCGGACAGAAAGAATAGATAAGATACTCGAAGCTGCTGATAAAGGACGTACTGATCTTTCAGATCATGGTAAAAGAATTTACATACCTTCGTCGTTTACTGGAGGAAAACGGTATATGATGCAGCATTATTTAGATGCAATGGCCACTTGCAAATGTTTTGGTTTCCCGGACCTTTTGATAACGATCACTTGCAATCCTAAGTGGCCTGAAGTTGTGCGTTATATTACTAGACATCGTCTAAAACAAGAGGATAGACCAGATATTTGTTGTCGGGTTTTTAAAATGAAGTTAGATAAGCTTATGCATCAGGTCACTAAAGAAAAAACTTTCGGTACGGTGAATTCTGGTACGTACCTTATTTTAATATACGTTAGGCTATTATTCTTATACAAAACATATATACATCTATATACACATATAGTTACGTTGCCGTTTTGATTTTTTTAACGCAGTTATGTATACAATAGAATTTCAAAAAAGGGGATTGCCTCATGCTCACATGGTCTTATTTCTGCATCCGGATTGTAAAATGCGCACAACAGACGACATAGATAAGTTCATAAGTGCTGAAATACCGGACAAAGAGGTGGATAAGTATTTATATGAAGTTGTTTCTGATGTTATGATTCATGGGCCTTGTGGACGTCAATACAATGATAGTCCTTGCATGAAGGATGGTAAGTGCACAAAATTGTTTCCAAAGCCATACGTAGATAATACTGTGATAGATGATGCTGGTTATCCAGTATACAGGCGAAGAGATGATGGAAGATTGGTACATAAGAGAGGCTTCGATTTTGACAACAGATATGTTATTCCGTACAATCGAGAATTGTCGATACGTTATCGTGCTCACATAAATGTAGAGTGGTGCAATCAGTCACGTTCAATCAAATATCTTTTCAAATATATCAGCAAATGACCAGATTATATAAGAGCATTTGTAGGAGAAGAGGATGAAGAAA